CAGACATCTGGAGTATGAATTTTTACTTCTCTCCCTTAATATGAGGAGGGTGCTGCTGAGAGGTCGTCCAGTGTGGACCCTGAGCATCCCTGCATGTCCTTGCTGAGAGTGTCAGAGTGTGTGTCATCGCTGTCCCCTAATACCAGGCAGTTTCTGTGCATGTGTGGGAAATAGAGTCACTCTGGGAGAGTACATCATCACCACCAATGTCTCACCAGTCCCCAGAGTGGAGGGGACTGGCTCCTGTCCCTCCTGTCCTCATCTCACACCAATCACATGGTTCTGTGAGATTCAGAGCCAGACCACCATGCTGACACCGAGATGCTCATACATCTCATGGTGATATATATAATAAAGCCCTTTGACTCCATCCCAGAAAGGTGTGTTTTCTCTCAGGCTCTGTGAAACTGTGGCCAGCTGCAGTGGGGGTGAGACCTCAGATGCTCCCCAGTTCTTGACCTGTCCCCCTTCAATCTCACTTGTCACCTAGAATAAGCCTCAGTCTTTGTCATTTTCTATTAATTTTTCTGAAACCATTGTGCTTTTTGATTTCAATACTTTGTTCTTATTTAAGAAGAATGGTTTTATTATGCTTTGGATGCCTTCTGTTTCATGTGCTGGATTCTCTGCATCTGAGACATGTTCCAGCTTTACTCCATGCATGCCCTGTGTCCTCCAGTTCCTTTCATCTCTGTCCATCTCCTCTTCAATGCACTTATCTAAGCATTCCTCCATACACGTGTCATGCTCCCTCCCTTCCTTACTTTGTGATGGCTTTTTAACTTGTTGGTGTGTAGCTGGCAGCTCTGATCCATTTGATTGATTGATACATGATGTGGTTCAATTCTTCTTCGCATCCAGCTCCTCACAATCTGATGCATCTTTCTTGTCCCTTCCGAACTGTGATCTTAGGTCTAGGATCTGTCATTCTATCACTTTTTTTCCCCCATGTCTCAAGCTGGTGAAGGAGGGGTCTCTTGCACTGTGTCTGATCAACTGCTCTCTATGCTGCTTTATCTTCAACAATTACAAGTGTCCTGTTCTGTGGTCCTAACACAACATGATGTGTATCCTATACTTTTATCAGGATGCCACAGGCGTCCAGTTCTTTTCACACTTCAGTATTAGCTCCTTCACATTTGGAGCCATGTTTTCTGTTTGTTGAGGTTCTGACCTGGAGCACTGGTCTATAAGAATTCTGCACTTACATTTTCTTCTGGATTATTTGCTCTCTGGCAACTCATACCAG